GGATAAGTCTCTGACATTATTTTAGAAAAGGTTGAAAAAGTGACGCGAGTAAAAGGTAAACAGTAAAACTTTTTGTTAAAGAGAATGTAAGCAAAGGAGAAAGAAGCTGTGAATATCTGCGTTATGGATCCTTTAGTTTCTGATCGTGATCTGAATGAGTTCCCAACTGCCATGGGCTTTGAAGTTCTGGACTTTCTCCCTAAATCTCCGGAGCATTCTCGCAGCGTTCGCAGCACCCTGTGTTCTTGTACAAGCCTTAACATGCTCCCTGCCTCTGATGTGTGCACCAGCAAACCGCTTTCAAGCACTGAGGAAGGAGGGCGGCGGGCGAACGGCCCAGCTGTCCTCAAAGCTCCGACGCACACAGATAAGACGCACAGCAGTGTGTGTGTGTGTGTGTGTGTGTGTGTCGAATGATGAGTCTGTCTCCCCGTGTTTGCAGAGCGTGATGGTCTCATTTTGTATTTTCTGTCACTTCTCACCATTTGTATTCCCCCTGCGGAGATGCTGGGTGAAGCCCCTCAGATATATGTGKTGGTTACCTGACAACACTCGTCTGAGCCCCACCTGACTCTGTGTGAGTCTGTTCTGTGTGTGTGTCTGTGTAATCAGGCAGTATTTGACAGTCTCCTTTGTGCACAGTTTGTTAAACGTCAGCCGCTCACCATCAGGATGCATGACAAGAAGGAGAGTTTTGTTTCAGCAGTTTTCAGCTGAGCAGAACAGGAGAACACCTGTTTCTCCTCTGGTTTAGTAGAAGATGTTTAAAATAATGTCCAGAACAAAACAACAGAACTAAAATAAAGTCATAGAATTCTTTGATAGGAAACATAACATGTTAAGAGTTAAAGACTAAAATAATCTCACGTAGACATTTAGTCAAACTTTGAACACAACATTTTGTACGTCTCAATTTATCCCTTTTTTAAACTTTATGGTCAATATTTGTCAAATTTACTGTTATAGTCCTTTATAGTCAGTCCATCAGCTGTGGTGGCCATCTTTATAGGATTAACTTGTAGATGTTCAACTATTAAAATGATTGGTTCATGAGACAAAAACATGGCTGTTAGCTACAGTTAGTGCAAGGGTCCAACACAAACT